AACTGATACGTAATTATACTGTTCATTACACATTCCAATCCTAAATGGTGAATAGCAGTCTCTACACTTTTCAACACTGAGAGTCCATTTTTTTTTGGGTTCGCCATATTAATTATAAAGATATGGCTCTGCAACTAGGGGTTGAAACCCTAACCTCTGATTGGTCAGCGGCTAGATCAACTTAGTCATGTGTGTAATAGCAATGTATCACGTGAAACAGATTTATCGTTAGAAGGTTTGGATCAGAACCTGTTTGTCCTCGAATAGTAGCTGAGTACAAGCAAAAATGCTTTTAATATCAAATTAATCATAAATTAATTGTTATAATTATTGTCTTTATTGCAATTAAAATAAAATAAAAATATGCAATGCATACTTTGAACACATGACATCTTTCAAATTAGTAGATGTTAGATAAACATTTAAAATGTGTGAAATTAATTTATTTGGAATTTTAGTACATTGTGACATCATTAATTTAACAAATTACTTAAAGAAATTTTAGATCTACTACTATGTGACGAAGATTCTTCACGAGAACCTGAACTGGGCCCACTATCATTACTATTATTGTCACTTTTTGTTGCTGTTGATGTTGGTAATGAAGGAAAATATGCTGGTTGTTTTCCTTTTACTGTCATAACAACCTCCTCCACTTTCTGCTGTTGCTGTACATGTTGTTGATCATAATCCATCGATTCAATATCAACATCTTCTTCATCTACCATATCTTCTTCTTCAACTTCTTCCTCGTCCTCTTCTTCTTCTAAATCCTCCTCGCCTAATAGTCGTAAACAATCTGCTATGATCATTCTACTTTGAACCTCGGGTGATTCAATTCTATTTTCCAAAAAAAATGTTAATTATTTCTCTAGAAATAAATTCATAAATATATATTAAAAGGAAGGAAGGAAATATTTATAATTATGGTTGTAAGTACCTTAAATCGTGTAAACAATTAACCAAATTTTCTCTTAATGAGATATAACTAAACGTTTGAATTACAGTTTGCAATTGTTGAATACTAATAATTAATAATTAATAGTTAATAGTTAATAAAGTGAAAACAAATGAATAGTGGTTATCATTATTAATTAAGTTATATATATATATAATCAATAAATACGTTGACTTTAATTTTACGTCGTCATCTTCGTTTGGTAAATTATTAATATATTTTTTAACCCTATTAAATAAAGTCTAAAATTAAAAATTTTAATTAATATTATATATATATATTATAAATAAACATTTAAACAAAGCACACTGATATATCTTACATCAATATATTCAGGTTGTGGTAATTTAATATTATCAGTTAGGTAACTTTTTGGGTGTTGATTTGTTGAAGGAGGAGAAGAAGGGCTTAACAATTTGTGATGATTTTCCCTTGAATAGATGGTGAAAATCATATCTAATAAATCAAAAAAAATTTATTAATTGAAAAAAAAGCTCCTGAAACATTATTATTATTACATTACACATACATGATTCAGTCATAAAAAATTTTTTTAAATGCGTAATATTTTTTCCATCACCATTATCAGCATTATTGTCATCATTATCTTGAATTGGTGGTGATGGCTCTATGGTTGCATAAGTATCATTATTATCTATTAAAACCACTGCAACCTTTCCTCCTTTTCTCAATGACAAGCAAAGTAAATGAAAATAATCATTTTGGTTCTTGTTGTTGTCAACATCATTCTTAAAAATTAAAGTTAAAAAAAAATATTAATAAAACTATTGCTACTTTATTGCTATTATTAAAATTAAAACCATTAATAAGTTTACCTCTATCTCCATCTTTTCTTTTTCAACATTTACATTGTCATCATTGTTATTATTATCTTGATCTAAAAATAACCCAAAACGATATCGAGTTGGTTCACCAAAAAGTTCTTTTTTTGATTTAAATCCCACTATTGTTATCATTGACATTAGCTGAACTACATAATATAATACATTTGATTATAAATATAAATATGTTATACATTCATATAACCTCACATACATCATAATAACATACCATCTTCTTCATCTAAAACATGAATTAATGGATAAATTTTTATGGGAAATGTAAATTGACCACATATGAGTGTGAATTTTCTGGGCAAATCTATCAATAACAACAACAATCATAATAATAAAAGATATTAATACTAATCTTCTAAAATAATAAAAGGAATGTATCAACCCAATAAATAGATAATACATACAATATTTGTCCAACATAACATTTATAACATTCTCAATAGAAGCATTAGTTTGTGGATAAGGCAAATACCAAAAGGCACCCCCTTTATCAAGTATGTAATCACCTTTAGGGTGATTTTTTGTGATTTTCAATGGCAATATCCTATTCAATAATTCCTTATATCCTTGTAAAACATGATTAATTTCTATTGTAAAACATGTTGCTTTTTTGTTGCTGTTTAGAACAATATCTGATAAACAAATTATATGAAGTTTCCATAATTCATTTTGAAATTTGTATGAATCTGTTTGTGATGAAGATGGTGATAATGGTGCTGCAAAAGTTTATACACTTAATTTATCAGATTTTAAACATTAAAAAAAATTAATCTCATAAAATAAAAATATAAAAATAAGATTGTTGTTGTTGTTAATGGCAATCTAATTTAGCCTTACCTTTTTCTTCTGGAGATTTACCATCAGTTATCATGATAATTTGACATACTTGATATTGACCAAATTTCTCTGCAACATATTTTTCAACAAATAAAAATGCAGATCTCATGTTTCGATTATCAAAATCAGAATTCTTTTTCTTTTTCTTATTATTATTATTATTATTATTATTATTATTATTACTATTATTACTTGGATTCCATCTTTATTTTAAAAAAGAATTCATTTAATCAATTAATTACATGTTATTAATATTGTAATCTATAGATAAAATACATACTGATTTAAAGTTTTGATTATTGAATCATGATTTTGAGTGAATTTATGTAATACTTGACATTTCGATGTGAACGTTATAACAGATACTGTTTGCCAGGGACAATTCTTTAAAAAGCTAAAAATGCCTACAATAATAATATTTTTAGTACAAAAACATGTTTGTGCACGCACACATAAAAATAAAAATAAAAATTAAAATAATTACCAAATTTTGCACAATCTAATTTTGTATTTATTTGATTTGCTGGTGAAAACATGTTCTTTGAAATGTCTAACAGAAACAACGTTACCTCCGGTTGTAACATTCTGATTTTTTCGTCTTTTATATAGTTTGATAATGAAAAATTTGAAAGAAAAATTTGTTGAAAAATACTAACGTGTAACGTGACACTTCTGCGAATAATTTGATCTTTTATCGGGAAACACAAATTTATATATATTAATATATGCTAATACCAATCATTTCAGCTGGTAAGGATACAATTGATTGGGTTATTCTATTGTTACATCTTCCTGGACTTGGTAATCCATGGACTTTTGCATAATTTTTCAGAAAATACTTTACAATTTCAGCAACATTTTTGTCAATCACCATTTTAGTTTTCCATTGTTGAGTCATCCTTTTAATATTACCATGGATTCTTGACAGGAGACCATTGTTTATCAGATGATTTCTGATATTTTCAAAATAAGTTCTACTAATCCCTAACATATTAAAATAAGCTTCTTGACAAAGGAGTGTATTGTGATTCCAGTGATAGAAAGTTCTTTTGTTAGAATTAGTTTTCTTTTTAAGGCGTCTACTATTACTTGTTAATCCATCATCCATTGCCTTAAGTTGAGCCATTAAAAATATGTCTTGTTCTGAACTTGAAAGGATTCTCTTAATTCTGCGAATTGCTTTTTCATATTCATTAGAACCATTATGATTATCATTTACATTATTACTTTTCATATACACTTATCCCTATATATATATATAACTTTATGTTCACTTTATAGGTTTTTATGAATAAGCAACAAATAGTTTTTTATTTTTTTTCACATCCTATCTTTGACATCTAATAATTTTTAACATAAAAGCTATTTTGAGTATGGGTCAACAGAATTTGGGATACACAGAAACCATATCTATTTTAATTGTGACAATTAACATAAATAAATTCTTTTACATAAGGATTATGTGAAGCTGATATAAACAAATCATTTATTTATTTTTAATTAATAATTACTTCAATACATATGTAAATACATAATAAAGCTTTGTTAATAAAATCCGATAATTGAGGAGTAAAGCTTTGTTCTAACAAAATGCATGTCATGTGATTTTCTGATTAAACTTCCAGGCTTCACAAAAAAAACAACACACATTATCATATTATTTTGAGATGGCAAATCCCGGATAGCATAGGTATTTCGACGACAATGAGGTTAATAATTGGAGCATCCTCAGGTTTCATGAAACATGTCAGAATAAAGACGATCCAAAAAGTTAAATTATCAAAAAGCAAATGATGCTATTACAAAAAGCTTGTGTTCTCTTATTAACGATTGCAAAGATGAAATGAAGATACAAAACTTCTAGCAAGCAAGACAAATACATTGTTGTGGTGGAGTCTATGGGTCCTGTTTTATGCTTTTGTATGAGTCAATGAAGGTGTATGTGAACTGATGTCCATACTAAGAGGAATCAACTGTTTGCTGGTCTCTGAATGCCTGCTTGAATGTATGGCAACAGTTGTCCATGCTAGGAGGAATAGACAATTTGCTGGTCCTCTGAATGCCTGCTTGGATGCATGACTTGTCACAATACCAATATGAGTGTGTTAGATTAGGTTTAGTACGTAAGATTAGATCTATTGTACATTATATATGATGTATTACATTGTTTTTCACCCCCATTTTTTCTTCTAAAGAGCAAATGCAGTCATGGAAGTGAAATTGACACCTTGTAGATTCCTATAGAATATCAGAATATCCAAAGATTGGCACTTGCGAAATTAAAGTAAGTCCATGGATTTATGGATTTGATTATCATCCATTTCAAATATGTATTATTTATCATAGTTTTAAGCTACATCCTTCATCAAGTTTGATAATGTCACAAAATACTCATGCGCTTTGACTAGTGCTGTAGTAACAAACTTGTGCAACATTATACCAGGGTCAACACCAATGTCACCAAGTAAATGGCTCTTTGAAAGTCTTGAATCAGGAACGATAAATTCAGCACAGGTTATGGGACAAGAATCAAATGAAAATTTTAATCCGCAAGCAGAGATAATTAGGATACCATCACCTACATCTCTGGACAAAGACACTCCAAATAAGCACCAGATGTGTGATTAGAAAGTTATTCAGTGAGTTTCATATATTAATAGTAAACATCTAATTTAGTGAATGTAAATTCGATTAATTTATTATATGTTTGCAATGGACATCTTTAAATACAACCAAGTTCACGTTCAGGCACCATTTATGTGGACTATAATAGAAAATTATCTTGAAAATGCTCTGAAAGTGAGTTCTCATAGATATTAATTAGTAGCATATTGGAAAGAAGTATGTTTGACATCTTTTTGCTTGGTTTACAGAAGTCAGAAAGAGACTTTAAGAAGGCCATCATGCTAGAAATTAAGGGAGACGATGAGAATAGGTTACGACTATATTGTGAGAAAATACTGATCGGCTTGTGAGTATTTGCTGTTTATTGTTACTTTTAAGTGAATAGGTACTTATTTCCTACTTTTTTATTCTAGTTATAACCTGGTAAATAGTTTCCCCCACATTTTCAAGAAAAATTGGAGAGAGAAAATATATTGTGCAGAATCTCTCTTTGCTTTTTAAATTTTATGAAACAACGTTTGGAACTATAACCTTCAATTGGATCAAATCTCATTCTCTATCAGCAAAATTGACCAAATCACTCACCAGTTCTGGAATTGTTAAGTTAGATGCAAAGGGTAAATAATAAATTATTCTCTGTTGACAAATGATAATACTTATTTAAAAATCTTGTTAAATGAGAAATTAATACCTGGATTTGCTTTGGGAGTGAACAAAATTTAGAAATAGAGGTGGTAAAAAACTTGATTTAAAAGGCTGAAAGAAATGTTCTTGACTGATAATATAGAAAAAAGTAATAAATTTTTACCTGAGACATATTAAAAAACCTAAATGTTTGTTGAAAATAATGAATTAGAAACTGATAGTTACTCCTTCTCTCCAACAAATTAAATCATGGATATCTTGATTTAATCAACATCACGAAAAACAAGCAGCTGGAATTGCAAGTTCTAGTTAATTAAAAACAATAAACACAATCCTTGTTCAATTTTAATTATGTTTCATTTGTTCATTTGTTTTATTTCATTCATTTGAATATCAAATAATTAGAATAATTTATTCGAATAGAAACTAATTACATTTTTTGTTGACATTTTCCTCCACCAATCTCTATTTAGAGTTCACTCATTCCTAGACGGATTGTCAATTAGTAGTTAATGAATGATTATTTTGCGTTGACAAAAGACATTATTTTTAGATGGTATTTTTTTGTTTATTATTATTTGAATTTTTAATTGAACAAGTTACGCTTGTATTTGGGTTAATAGAAACCGGATTCAAACCTCTTTTTTTAGTATTAGTATTAGTGTTAGTATTTAGTCAATATAAAATCCTGCAAACTAAGATAGTAATAGGTTGGTTTGACCCATACTGTGATTGGCTTATTGGGGATGATCTTTTCAAATTTGGTGATTTTCACCAACATTGTGTTTTCTAATACGGTGCAGATCATCTATAATCATTAATTGCTTATAGTAACAATTGGTCAACTTCAAAATGCTAAAACAAAAAAAAATTATATCATTTTAAAAAATTTAGCCGATAAGTTTTATTATTCATGACTCAAGCTTCAAAACTTATCGGCTGGTTTTTTCTTAAACTGAAATTGGCAGAGCCTTAGCATTTTGACAATTCCGAATTTTGTTATACATTTAAGAAATTGAGGTTAAGTAAATTTCGTGTAACAACTTTTTTTCATATATAGAATATTTCCTATATACAGTGCAGGACAACAGGAGGGAACGTCCTATATAAGGAATGGATTTTCACAATTGATTTCAATTTTTTTTATACAGTTTAAAATAC